CTGCAGTGCATATGGAACAAGTCACAGCCTACTGTATCCCAAGACACAGTAGGCTGGATCTTCCACAAACGTGAGAAGCTGAGCTGCCACAACTAGTGCAGTCACAGTGCAATGCACATTCGTCTGTGTTACTAACAGCAGGACCGAGGGAAGACCTACACTGCGAAGTTGTTAATGGTGTAAAGAGCTTGCAAAGTTGTTCATGGTTTACAAAGGCTTCACAGGCCTATCGCACCACATGGCATCTAGAGGCACCTTAACCGCAACTACACATGATGTGGAGCACAGGGTCCTGGGGTCTGTCAGTCCACCTAGACGTTGATTGTAGTCTGCAGTGTCGCATACCGATATGGTGCAGACCAGAACCAAGAACCAACCTCTCTCACATAGCACAGGATAGCACAGCGGAAGACTGAAATACCAATGATCAGACCAATCAATGTCCCAATGCAGACTGAATATACAGCATCATCATCACAAGGTGTGAAGGGGCCTGGCGCCACGCACAGGAAGAATGCACGGCTCATATCATACACAGATGAGGAGGAGTGGAATCATACGAAGAGGAGGGAGGAGATGAGAATGTCGTCAACCACTGTCGTCGATATCGATCCCAATAGTCCCCCACCCAATGTCTCTGTCCCTATGTCGAGTCTGAATCCAAATGTCGTCAAATCCCCAAAGTCACATGTCTCTGTCCCGATGTCGAGTCTGAATCCAAATGTCATAAAATCCCCAAAGTCACAAATCTCTCTCTCTCTCTCTCTCTCTCTCTCTCTCTCTCTCTCTCTCTCTCTCTCTCTCTCTCTCTCTCTCNCTCTCTCTCTCTCTCTCTCTCTCTCTCTCTCTCTCTCTCTCTCGTAGTCTTCTCGATATTGAGAAGTCAGGAAGCTGGAGGGTAAGGAAGAGATGGTGGACTGGAGGAAGAAAAAGAAGAAGAACTCGCTTTCTCTCTTTCTCTCTGTGCCAGGTACTAACCTGTGAAAGGTGGCGCCTTGCTGCAGGTACACTGAAGACAAAGCTGGAGCGATGGCGTCACTGGTAAGCTCTCCGGTAAGTCCCCTGGTCTCCGCCACTCTCCTCCCTCTCAGTGCTACTCCAAGGTCCTAGCAGCACCCAGTGCTGAAAGACTAACTCCTATCATTACCTACTACCGCTGCAGCGTCTCCGGAGAGTGCCGCGGCTGAATGCCTGAAGACTGAATTGCCAGCCTTCAAGGCGGACCAGCTATATATAGCACTGGTCCGGCTGGGAGGCTGTCCTCACCAATGCCGAACGGCGCCAGTCCCTGGCGCCCAAACGGTCTGGCGCCTAAATGTTGGCGCCCAAATTCCCTTTTTTTTTCTTTTTTTTTAACAAAACAGGTCCTTATGGTCCTGGCTCCTTTCCATTCTGGGGAGCCAAAATTTGGCGCCCAAATTCGAAACAGTCGGATTTGAAAAAGGCCTACTGCGGCCTGGGTGCCTACTAGGCCTCTACCGGGGTCTGGCGCAAAACAGGCGCCAGGGCATACCTACTGGGCCTATCCAGGCCAAACGACACGGGGCCTGAAAAAGGGCCCCTTACTACTCTGAACCGTCACAGGGCCCGAAAGGGCCTTACCGAACCTCTATCCTACCTGGTCGGGCCCTGCAGGGGCCCGTGTGGTACTCATTATGCCACAGCACAGTATTATCGTCATGAAGGGCACCGTCCATGCCATGGCCACTGTCACCGAAAGACTTAAATTCAATAAATTGTCGGTTACCTTAAACTAGTTGCCAAGATATCATCTTAGCCTTCAACTGTAGAACCCATACTGTATTGTCGATGTCATGGCCGTTTTGTGTAATTGTTCATGGTGTACAGAGGCTTCACAGGTCTGTCTCACCGCATGGGCATCTAGAGGTTTCTTAACCACAACTACACATGAGCTGGAGCACATGGGTCTGCGGTCTGAACTCCACCCAATTGTAGTTTGCACACTACTGTCGTCATGAAGGAGCTGTCCATGCCATGGCCACTGTTGCTGAGTGACTTATATTGTCAGTTACACCAACCTAGCACACCAAGCTCGCAAGATATCATCTTAGCCTTCAATTGCAGAGCCCATACTGAATTGATAGCACAATGCATTGTTGATCACATGGCCAATTCGCCGAGCCACCCACATTGCACTTACAGCAAAACGAGGTATCACATCTGATGCAAGGAACAACACACCCAACCTAAGGTATCGGTTGGACTGGGATATCCTTCTAAAGCAAATTACCATGGATGTGGGGTGGTTCTGACTTGGTTCGGCGTACATTTCTGAAGCAAAACAAGGCGGTAAACCAGAGAAGTTTGGAAATAGACGAAGATGAATAGACGTTTCATTCTGCTACATAGATGTAGGCCCTAGGGCCTAAGAGCTCGTCACTGCCTGTGTTATCAAGTGCTCAAACCCTTCACTGCAAAACAAGCATCCACATTGACATACAGCAGACTCTTTCCTAACACACGACATATTACCATAGGAAGGATTGACTGATCAAAGTGTATCACCCACCCTGCTGAACCACCAGCTTTCAGAAACACGCTATGTCAGAGCTGAGCCTGAACTGTCATGATTACAAATCTGATAGCCCAGGTCAGCGTGTGCAGTTTCTTTGGCCAGCAACATCAGGCCACCTCTGAGTCAACTCATAGGTCTCTTGTTTACAGGCGTGGGCCGTAGAACATGTCAGGGATAGTTTAATTAATCGACCACAAACACCAGAGCGATGGATATGCACCCAGATCGATCAATTGCCTTTTGCGTAGCCTACACTTCATTTGCATTGTTCCTAGTTCTAGCCAGTACAATCATAAAATGCATCCAGTCACACTTACCGTCATGATCAGGCTGGTCCATCATCCTTGTGCCTGTGTTGTCGAAATGGCTTGACTATTCGAAACCTGCAAGTTGATGGTGTACGAGCAGCTGGCATGCTCGTTCAAAATGCCCCTATGATCACTGAGCACTACGTGGTCGAGGGGGGGAAGGGGAGGAGGGGGCAGAAGGGGGCGAGGGACGCAGTCCAGAGAAGCTGAAATGCCAAACCATACACAACAGGATAACAACAAAACCATACTTGCGGCGCATTTGTGCGGTGCGCGATGCGGTGCGCTGCGCCATGCGGACTGCGCGCGGTGACACTGCGCGCGCACGTGCGCGAACGTGCGCACGAGGTGCGCCGTGCGCGCAGCGCATGGGGACGCGCTACCCCTGCGAGGTGCGCACTGTGCGCCAT